GTCCTGGATCATTAGATAGGAATCCGAAGATGAAAAGAGAAACAAAGAATATCACTATTGTGTAAACAAATAGTTTTAGAGTAAGCATTACAAAATCTCCAAGATAATAAAAAAAAAAAAACGACAGAGAAAGAGAATAGATTCTCTTGTATTTCATATTATGTTTCCTTTGATACTCAGTTTATAAGAAATGAAGTTATTTCAAAAAAACTAAAAAAATTGATTTGTAGTAAGAGTTGAGCCTTTGTTTTACCATTACCAACAATTCAATTTTCTTTCATATCCACAAGATCCACGTATTGGTGGTAGACTCAAATCGAATAATAGAATAATATAATTTTTATTTTTGAATGGAAAAAAAGGAAATGATGAGATGATCCATATTTTTATTGTCTATCCAACAATTTCAAGATTTATAATCACGGATTCACACTGTAAGACTTATCTTATTTTTAAAAATGTTAAAATTTGAGTTTTCTAATAAATTCTGACTTTTTTTTCGGACATTATTCAAATTAAAGATCTTATCGAAAACTTACAGCAGCTTGCCAAACAAAAGCTAAGAGAAAAAAGAGTAAGGGTATTACTGGCATAAAATCTACAATTGGATTCAAAAAAGCGTAAGCTTCTGGTAATTTCCCCAAGAAAAAACTACTTGAATAAAGGGCAGAGTGAATACAAATACAGACCGAGCTAAAGATATTAAGCATAACAAAAATGTTTTTCTTTAAGAAAATGAATTGTCTTTTTTCTTTTGTTTTTAATTCTAATTTTGATTGTATTTTTTTTATTATTATATAGATGATTTATTCTATATATGATATGATTTATTCTATATATGATATGATTTATTATATAATTTATTATTATTATTATCCATTTTTGTATTATACTTTTATATTAACAATGAAATATAAAATCAAAATTTTTTGATTTTATTTAGATAGAATAGAGAATATATAGAATAGAAAATGAATAATTTGAAAATCTAAAAGGATAGAATATAAAATATTGAATTCCTATTTATAGATATGAAGATTACTAAATCAGTAATAAAACGAAAAAAAAAGATGAATCAACTAAGATCAGACCCCCACTTTTTTTGATTTGAACTGAATAAGTTCAAACAATATCTTAATTGAATTCTATGGAATGATCAATAAATTTCGTTTAATTCGATATCGATACATATCAAAATTCTAGCAACAATTTATTCTATAGAATAAATTTCGAAGTGTAATTTACGAACAACTCATAATACTATTTATGTCGAATCAAAATGGGGCGTGGCCAAGCGGTAAGGCAGCGGGTTTTGATCCCGTTATTCGGAGGTTCGAATCCTTCCGTCCCAGATCATATCTATTCAAGATATATACCTATTTCAATACAAATTGTATATCCGAATAAAGATTCCTTTTTTTTTTTTTAGAAATTGATTTTTTTATATTTAATTTACAAACCATGAAAATAGAATATTGACTTAATTTCGACTTCTTGACTTTAGAAATAAAATTGTATAGTCAGAAAACCTAAAACCTAGAAGTGAAAAGTATATATTATTATCTATTGATTGAGTCAATGACTATGCACGATTTCAAAATGGAATCAATTACATACCAGATTGAAACTAAAAAATAATGTTATGGTAAAACCTCGTTTGAAACGATGTAGTAAAAAGCAGCGTGGGACTTGAAAAACGTGACTATATTAGCTGCGGAGTCTTACATGCCCTATTTTCTTTATACTATCTAGTTTCTAGTATCTAGAAATAGGGATCCTCGATTTTTCGATTTGAGTGATCTATTTATTCCAAAATTCGGTGCTCAACCTACCTCATATTAGGAAAAAGTCAAGAAATAAACTAATTTGGTGCATAAATACCGTAGACCAAATGAGCCTTTTTACTTCTTTGTTTTTATTCTATTCATTCATTTTTATATTAGAAATAGTTATTGATTTGATATTCAAATATAAATGATACATTTGTTCAATACTTCTTCGCTCATTATTATTATAAGTTATTAATCCTCGCAATTCTATTTCTATACTTAAGTCGATAAAAAATGATCATCGAATGACTATTCATCTATTGTATTTTAAAGTGGTTCAATCCAATGTTGCTGTTTAATAGGGATTTAGAATATAGGTGTGGTTTAAGTAAATCCCTAGATAGTTTTGATCCTATTGAAGATAGTTTTTATCCTATTGAAAATAACGGTGTAAATGAAGACCCATCTATTTTAACTGATGACCCATATATTTTAACTGATGACCCATCTATTTTAACTGATGACTCATCTATTTTAACTGATGACCCATCTATTTTAACTGATATGGATAATGACATTCATAGTTGGATTGAGAGTTATCTTCGTTATTTAGATGATAGTGACAACTACAATGCCAATATCAGTGACTTGAATAGTTACATTTTAGATGATACAAATGATAGTGATTTGTATGAAATAGAAAATTCTAATGATACAAATGATAGTGATTTTACTCCAATAGAATATTCTAATGATACAAATAATAGTAAATTTACTCCAATACAATATCCTGATGATCCAAAAGATACTTCTTATACTGAAAAATTTAAGCATTTATGGGTTGAATGCGAAAGTTGCTTTGGATTAAATTATAAGAAATTTTTTAAATCCAAAATGAATATTTGCGAACACTGTGGAGATCATTTGAAAATGAGCAGTTCAGATAGAATCGAACTTTCGATTGATCCAGGTACTTGGAATCCTATGGATGAAGACATGTTTTCTCTGGATCCCATTGAATGGGACAAACCTTATACGGAAGACGAACCTTCTACGGAAGACGAATACGACTCTTCTACGGAAGACGAATACGAATCTTCTACGGAAGACAAACCTTCTAACGAACCTTCTACGGAAGACAAACCTTCTAACGAACCTTCGACGGAAGACAAACCTTCTAACGAACCTTCGACGGAAGACAAACCTTCTAACGAACCTTCGACGGAAGACAAACCTTATACGGAAGACGAATCTTCTCCGGAAGACGAATCTTCTCCGGAAGACGAATCTTCTCCGGAAGACGAATCTTCTCCGGAAGACGAACCTTCTACGGAAGACGAATACGACTCTTCTACGGAAGACGAACCTTATATAGATCGTCTTGATTTTTATCAAGAAAGTACAGGATTACTGGAGGCGGTTCAAACAGGCACAGGTCAACTAAATGGTATTCCTGTAGCAATAGGTATTATGGATTTTCAGTTTCTGGGGGGTAGTATGGGATCCGTAGTGGGTGAGAAAATAACTCGGTTGATCGAATATGCTACCAATCAACTTTTACCTCTTATTATAGTATGTGCGTCCGGAGGAGCGCGTATGCAAGAAGGAAGTTTGAGCTTAATGCAAATGGCTAAAATATCTTCTGCTTTATATAATTATCAAATCAATCAAAAGTTACTCTATGTAGCGATACTTACATCGCCTACTACTGGTGGGGTAACAGCTAGTTTTGGGATGTTGGGGGATATCATTATTGCCGAACCAAAAGCTTACCTTGCATTTGCGGGTAAAAGAGTAATTGAACAAACGTTGAATAAGGAAGTGCCTGAAGGTTCCCAATCGGCTGAAGTTTTTTTCGAAAAAGGCTTATTGGATGCAATCGTATCACGTGATTCTTTAAAGGACTTTTTAAGTGAGTTATTTGAATTCCATGGTTGCTTTCCTTGGATTGAAAATGAAAACTAATGCAGACTATCATTTTATTTATGTTTTTCAATTTTTAACTTTTCATTAATATCATAAAATGAATATCATAAAGAAATCTTCTTATTATATAAAAATGATATAAAAAGAAAATGAGAACACACAAGAGTAAAGTAATAAGATAAGAATAAAAAATAAAGATTAATTATCATGGACATATTTCTTGTAGAAATAGACAGCAAAATAAATCCAGTTATTTCGTTCGACATTCCTTATATTTAATTTAATATTCAAATTATTAAAATTAACGATTTTGATTCTTAATAAATCTTATTCCATTTTTTTCTTATGGGTTTATTCTCTTTATATACTCCATATAGAATATATATATATATTCATATCTATTTATTTAGCTCTACATAGTAGAATTAAAAAAATAGACTTAGTATAAGTCTATATGAATTCTAGTGATTATAGACTTTCTTTATTCCAATATAAGAAGAATCCAAATATTAATCTAACAATCAACAAAAAAGAACAGGTACAAATATGAAATTGAGGTACCCCATTTTATGATAAACTTACCATCCCTTTTTGTTCCTTTAGTAGGCCTAGTATTTCCGGCAGTTGCAATGGTTTCTTTATTTCTTCATGTTCAAAAAAACAATATTTTTTAGATACCACAAGTTTCATATATTTTTGAAAATAGGGTTAAATTTTTTAGTTTGGATTTGTTCTTTTGTTCCATTTTTGAATAACTATTGCCTTCAATAAAAAAAAAAGAAAAGTACTAATATTATATAAGCCTTAATAAGATAAGGAGGTTTTCATATAACAACATAAATATTAATCTAACAATCAAGAAAAAAGAACAGGTACAAATATGAAATTGAGGCACCCATTTTATGATAAACGTTTATGTGTTTTTAGTGGGCCTTGTATTAATTGTAATGTCTGCTATTATTGGTTCATGTTCCAAAATTCATTAGTTGGGGGTCAGAAAAACTTGGTTGTCGTTCACAAGACGCATGGCTTGACATTGTACCGGGGTCCCGAAAAATTATCAATTTATTCTGGGCGTCTTTCACTCTTTTAGGTTCATTAGGAGTTTTATATATTTCAGTTTCCAGTTATTATGGGAGGGATTTTTTCTCTTTCATTTCGTCCGAATTTGTCATTCCTTTTTTGACACAAGGAGTCACGCTGACTTTCTATGGAATTGCCGGTCTCTTTCTAAGTTTACATTGGTGGCTTCTAATTTTTTGGAATGTGGGGAGTGGCTATAATTTTTTCGATAAAAAAAATCGAATGGTATGTTTTTTTCGTTACGGATTTCCTGGAACATATCGTCGTATTTTTCTCCGAGTTCGTATGGAAGATATTCAGTCCCTCATACTACAAGCTAACCCAGAACCTAGTAGTGGTGTCCTTTATATGCAAACCAGAGAACAGGGGACCATTCCCTTGACTCCTGTTGATGATAGGACTCCATGCAACGTTATACAAAAAGCTTGGGACTTGTCCAGATTCTTGAGTGTACCAATGGAAATCGTTCCATATTCTTGAGTATACCAATGGAAATCGCTGTATCCAAACAATTTCATTTTTAATTCATAGCTTTTGAAACACTTTTTTTCTTCTTCATTCAAATTGGCAATGGCTTTTTCGTTTTCTTATTTGATTTCTGTATTCTTTTGGATTCTTTTTTCAAATTGAAGGAAAAAGAAACTAACCTCCGAATTACAAATAAAAAGAATAGCTTCTCAATTTCTATGAAAAAATTATAAATTGATATATTCTAGGCTAAGCTCTATTACTTGTATTTACTTGTAATAGAACTTATGCTTGATAGAAAGATTATTATTATATATAGTTGAAAAATGAGATGAAACTGAGTTCATTAAAGACGAAAAATGGCAAAAAAGAAAGCATGCATTCCCCTTCTATGTCTTACATCTATAGTCTTTTTGCCCTGGTGCATCTCTTTTACATTTCAGAAAAGTCTGGAATCTTGATTACTAATTGGTGGAATATGAAAGAATCCGAAATTGTCTTGAATACTATTCAAGAAAAAAGTATTTTAAAGAAATTGCTAGAGTTCGAGGAACTGTTCCTCTTGGATGAAATGCTAAAGGAATACCCGGAAACACGTTTACAAAACCTTCGTATCGAAATCTACAAAGAGACCATCCAATTGATCGAGACGAACAACCTAGATCGTATCCATACGATTTTCCATTTCTGTACAAATATAATCTGTTTCCTTATTCTAAGTGGTTATTCTATTCGAGGTAATCAAGAACTCATTATTCTTAACTCTTGGGTTCAAGAATTTCTATATAACTTAAGTGACACAATAAAAGCTTTTTCTATTCTTTTATTAACTGATTTTTGTATAGGATTCCATTCGACTCAGGGTTGGGAACTAATGATTGGGTCTGTCTATAAAGATTTTGGATTTACTCCGAATGATCAGATTCTATCTTGTCTTGTTTCGATTTTTCCAGTCATTTTAGATACTATTTTTAAATATTCTATTTTCCGTTATTTAAATCGTGTATCTCCGTCGCTTGTAGTCATTTATCATTCAATGAAGGAATGAAAAAACGACCCACTGATCCAATTCTAAAATTTGTTTTTTGTATAGAAAAGCTAAACATTTAAAATTGAACTTATTCGTTTTCGTTTTACTCGTATTCTTCCTATATTATAGGAAAAGAATTGGAGTAAATAGCAGAATCATGGATAGGGAACTGTGCCAGTAACCTACCTAATCTTATTGTAGAAATTTTCAGGATCAATGATTGGACCATGCAAACTAGAAATGCTTTTTCTTGGATAAAGAAAGAGATTACCCGATCCATTTCCGTATTGCTCATGATATATATAATAACTCGAGCACCCATTTCAAATGCATATCCTATTTTTGCCCAACAAGGTTATGAAAATCCTCGAGAAGCTACCGGCCGGATTGTATGTGCTAATTGCCATTTAGCTAATAAGCCCGTAGATATTGAGGTTCCACAAGCGATACTTCCCGATACAGTATTTGAAGCAGTTGTTCGAATTCCTTATGATATGCAAGTGAAACAAGTTCTTGCTAATGGTAAAAAGGGGGCTTTGAATGTGGGAGCTGTTCTTATTTTACCAGAGGGTTTTGAATTGGCCCCTCCTGATCGTCTTTCGCCCGAGATTAAAGAAAAGATAGGTAATTTGTCTTTTCAAAGCTATCGTCCCACAAAAAAAAATATTCTTGTGATAGGCCCCGTTCCTGGAAAAAAATATAGTGAAATTACCTTTCCTATTCTTTCTCCAGATCCCGCTACTAAGAGAGATGTTTACTTCTTAAAATATCCTATATACGTAGGCGGGAACAGGGGAAGGGGTCAGATTTATCCCGACGGAAGCAAGAGTAATAATAATGTTTATAATGCTACAGCAACGGGTGTAGTAAACAAAATAATACGAAAAGAAAAAGGTGGATACGAAATAACGATAGTAGATGCATCAGATGGACGTGAAGTGATTGATATTATACCGCCAGGACCAGAACTTCTTGTTTCAGAGGGTGAATCTATCAAACTTGATCAACCATTAACGAGTAATCCTAATGTGGGTGGATTTGGTCAGGGGGATGCAGAAATAGTGCTTCAAGATCCGTTACGTGTCCAAGGTCTCTTGCTCTTCTTGGCATCTATTATTTTGGCACAAATTTTTTTGGTTCTTAAAAAGAAACAATTTGAGAAGGTGCAATTGTCTGAAATGAATTTTTAGGAATGTCAATTTATCAACATATTAAGCTGGTAAAAAGAACTCCATTTTTGTTGATAAATTCTGTGTAAAGACCTTTGGTTCTTGGTTTTTTTTCAACTGCACAATTAATTCGAACCATATGATTATGTCGCTGATTATGTCGCTGTTTTCACATTTTCATGTCCTAGAATAGAAATATTAGAATTTATATTGTAATAGAATGAAATTCGACTCGATACTAAACCTAAAAAAATAGGTAGGTAGATAATATTAAGTAAAGTAGAAAAAGGGAAAACAGGATTCTAGGATGGATAATTTGTCTTTTCCTAGAGTCCAATTCCTTCTTGTTTATGTCGAAATCGATACGTAGTTAAGGAATGGACAAACAAAAAAGACCGGGAATTGAATTCAGCAAATACAACTTTCTTAATTCACTTCAAAAAAAGAATTTAATCATGAGTCTATATTAGAAATAGATTTCTAGTAAGATTCTGTTAGTATCAAAAAGGTTTGGTTCTACAGAATCTTTTTTATGTTTAATAGAGTATTAAATATAGTATATAGTTCCCTATTCTTACAGGGAAGATCCTAAAAAAAGGAAATGGAATTTTTTGAAACATACAATAAAGTTATCTATTGACTCACTGACAAAAATATTCTGATTATGAAGAACTCAACGGGACCCCTTCGAATTCATCAAAGAAAGAGTGGATCCCCGTTGAGTTCTTATGCTTTCATTTCGAAAACTAAATTTATCCGATTATTACAGGGATGATCCCAATCCGGAATATGAACCATAAAAGAAAATACCAATTAAACCGATCACAACAATACCAGCTACAGTACCTATTATCCAAAGAGGAATTCTTCCAGTAGTATCGGCCATTTATCCCACTTTCCTCCACATTTGATCAAGTAGTCAGTCATACTAGAGACCTAAACAGTCATAGATAATTATGAAATGATATCCTTCCGAATGGGATAAGAGAATTCCTAATATATAAATACTATTCTCTTTTCTTCAATTAATTGAAAAAATAATTTGAAAATAAAACAGCAAGTACAAAAATGAGTAATAAACCCCAGTATAGACTGGTACGATTCAATTCAACATTTTGTTCATTTGGGTTTGATTGTGTCGTAGCTCTATAATTCGGATTAGGTTTATCGTTGGATGAACTGCATTGCTGATATTGATCCCAAAAAAGAAACGGTAGGTACCGCTAGTCCGTGAACAGCCAACCATCGTACTGTAAAAATGGGATAGGTCCTATCTATGGTCATTGGAGCCTCCTAAAAAGATCTACTAAATTCATCGAGTTGTTCCAAAGAATCAAAACGGCCGGTTATTAAAGGAATTCCTTGTCGGCTTTCTGTAAAATACTCGTTTGGACGGGGGCTTCCAAATACATCGTAAGCTAAACCCGTGCTGACAAATAACCAACCCGCAATGAATAGGGAGGGTATAGTAATGCTATGAATAATCCAGTATCGAATACTGGTAATAATATCAGCAAAAGAACGTTCTCCTGTGCTTCCAGACATGCCGAGCTCCACATATTCTTATACAGTCAAAGGGGGATCGATTCCATAAAAGATCAGATCAGTAAGTAGAAATTTACTGAAATTTTCAATCTTTGTTACGATCGTCAATCGTGTACCAAGGGTCTCGTTCCAGTATACCAAATCAGTATAGCTATCCTTCTTCTAACACAGCAACGAAATTTCACAATAAGTGACGAGATCGAGTACTACAAAAGAAAATTTCTTTTTTTCCTGGTTGTTTGTTTCGATGTACTGAATCGAAAATTCCTCAAAGTTTAAGACTATATATATGGACTTTATATTATTTATATTATATATATACGTTATATTATATATAATTATATAAATAAATAAAACAATTTTCCTTCGATTAGTTTACTCAACTCATGTCATGAGTTGATCAAGAAATCTGTTGATTTGGAATCACAGGTTGGGTAGATGTCACAGATGATGAATTGATTTTTTACCTATGTAACTATATTTTTCTTTTTGTTTGTCCGTAATAATTGATTCATGAATCAATTCTTTTCCATTGTATCTTTCAAGTGGTCTTTTTTGCTTCTTTTCCTATTTTTATCTAAAAAAAAAAAAATGGAAACTTAGGAAAGTGCTTTATAAACATATGTATAAAAAGAATATATTTCATCTAGTTTCCTTATGTCCACTCTAACCAGTTATTTCGGTTTTCTACTAGCGGTTTTAACTATAACCGCAGGTATTTTTATCAGTCTGAATAAGATACGACTTATTTGATTTGCAATTTTGAGAGAAATTTGGAAATTGTAGATATTCTATAGTTCCTTATCATATTTCCAATTCTTGGTCATTGAGATTCATGGTCAATATAAATTCATATTTAAGGATCGATATTACCCCCACCTTTTTTACTTTCAACCAAACTCAAATGATTGAAGTTTTTCTATTTGGAATCGTGTTAGGTCTAATTCCTATTACTTTGGCTGGATTATTTGTAACGGCCTATTTACAATACCGACGTGGCGATCAGTTGGATATTTGATTTAGTACTGTCTCTTTTGTTTATTGACTTCCTATTTTTTTGTTTGAATCCTAATTCACAGGAGATCAAATTAACACTTTTGATTAGACTTAGACTGTTATCCCATTATTTTAGTCTCATTCTCAGAAGAATGGTATCACGCTCTGTAGGATTTGAACCTACGACATCGGGTTTTGGAGACCCGCGTTCTACCGAACTGAACTAAGAGCGCTTTCTTTTCCTAAATAATTTGATGTGATGGCAATATATCTTGCATGCATGCATACAAACTAAATATGGAGAACTATTCATATTGAGTATGTATGTACAATTTCAATTGCTCAAAATTGATCTCTTGTTACTGCTGATATGATATTAGGGATAGGGATGACAGGATTTGAACCTGTGACATTTTGTACCCAAAACAAACGCGCTACCACGCTGCGCTACATCCCTTTACATCAGTTTCCATTGTCATTCTAAAGAATTTTTGTCTTATTTTCCACATTTTTCCATTATCTATATCCTGCCATTTTGTTTGTTTTTTTACTTTCTTATATCGATCGTAGAAATAAGATATCGAATCAAATATTCTTATAGAATATTTATATTCAATTAATGAAAAACAGAGAATATATAGAATCTATAAATAATAAGATAGAAAAAGTATAATAACAAGAACAAAGAATATACAAATAATATAGAAAATAGAATTGATATATGAAAAATAGAATAATTTCAAATATTATTTTAATATTTCATAGAATTCATAATTTCAAAAAATATATAATAATATAGTTATTAGAAGATAACAATTTGAATAAATAAAATTAAGAATATAAAAATAGTACTCTATAAAAAAAGATCTAATTCATTGTTGTACAATTCAAATTGGATTCGGACTTCCCCCGAGAAATCCAAGTGGTTTTATTAAGAAAAAAAAACATTGGATCATATTCCTATATGTAATTCTGTATTATTATGTATTACAAATTACAAGAAAAAACGAAGGAGGATTTGAAATGCGAGATCTAAAAACATATCTCTCTGTGGCACCAGTGGCAAGTACTTTATGGTTCGCGGCTCTAGCAGGTCTCTTGATAGAAATCAATCGTTTATTCCCGGATGCATTGACATTCCCTTTTTTTTGATTCTAGTTATTGGCACGGGAAGGGGTGACGAAGATTAGAGATCCAATAAAATATCTGTGATTAAATCCCTCTTCGTTCGTTTTTTTTTTCGAATTATACTAGAATAAGTTCAAAAAAAAAAAGAGGAAATTAAGAAAGGTGGATTTGGCCTCAGTGAAATTTGGAATTTTTCCCACGTTTCGTTTCAATGGAATTGAATTAATACTTCAATTCCATTGCTATTCTTAATTATTAAGAGTAAGACCAGAAATGGAATTGTTAGGGTAGGGGCAATAATATCATACAAGATATTTCAATAAAAACTGAAATACTAGACTCTGGATTCGAAATCTATTTCGAAAGCATTGTAGTAGTGAATTATTACTGTACTATATAAAATTAATTGGAACAAAATATTTCATAATTTGATTTTGAATTATCAACTTATCTTTTTTTTCGTTCCTTTTTTCTTCTTCCCTTCGAATCTTAAAATCGAAGAGTTAAGTGAATAAAAAAACCAAAGGAGGTTTATGGCTAAGGGTAAAAATATCCGAATAACTGTTATTTTAGAATGTACTAGTTGTGATAAAAAGAGTGTTAATAAGGAATCTAGAGGTATTTCTCGATATATTACTCAAAAGAATCGACACAATACGCCTAGTCGATTGGAATTGAGAAAATTCTGTCCCTTTTGTTGCAAACATATGATTCACGCAGAGATCAAGAAATAGAGAAAATGGATTACTTGTGTGTCACCCTTAAGGAGGTAAATTGAAAAAATACATAAAAATTAATTATATAGATACCAGATAAATTATCTTATCTATATTATATAAATAACATTCTATAACATAAAATTATATACATAGATCATTATATAGCATATATTTTCCAAATATATTACAAAAAAAAATAAGAATATAACTAAAACAAATCCTTTTTTTATAAAACAAACGGGATTTTCGGTATAGGAATAAACAAACCATGGAGAAATCTAAGCGACTGTTTGTTAAATCGAAGCAATCAATTCGTAGGAGTTCGCCCCTAATCCAATCTGGGGATCGAATTGATTATAAAAACTTGAGTTTACTTTTCGAATTTATCACGCTACAAGGAAAAATTATACCTAGATGTGTGAATAAATTGACCTTAAAACAACAACGATTGATTACGATTGCTATAAAACAAGCTCGTATTTTATCTTTGTTACCTTTTGTAAATTCGTCACCTTTTGTTAAAAATGCAAAAAAAAAATATGAAAAAATCAAGTCGATTACTAGAGCTACTCCTCCTGTTCTTAAAAAAAAAAAAAAATAGAGTTACGTTACTTCAATTAATTTAATAATTAATTGAATCTAAACTCAAAGTTTATGCGGATTGGTAGTTTTTTTTTTGTTTTTTGAGCGTGGTTGATTATTTCTTTTTCTAATTCATATGAATTCTATTTTATCATACAAATCTATTTTATTCTACCACCTTCCCGGAGTTAAGTCTCCGGGGAATTTTTATTTTTGAATGATATCGTTGGCAATCATAAAAAGACAATTCCCCTTTAATCTAGCTATTTGTGCAACTATTTTACGATTAAGAAGCAATTGATTCTTGTACAGATTATACATTAAATTACTATAGCGATAGTATATTTTTTCTTTATTCTGGCTTATTATTGCATTTATTCGACTGATCCACAAACTGCGAAAGTCCCTTTTTTTCTTATCTCTATCCCGTTGAGACGAAACCAAAGCTTTTATTCTCTGTTGGAAAATAATTCGAATAAGTTTTGAATGAGCTCCGCGAAAGCCTGATGTAAAGGAACTCAATTTTGTCCTCCGTTTTCTCGCGATAGATCCTCGTTTAATTCTGTTCATTGGATAAATGAGACTTTGATTAATAACTATTTAATTTTTTTCTTTCAGTTATTCTTTTATCCTTTCTAGTCTATTACGAACAACATGGATTCTTCCAATGTGGAAAATATAAATTCCAATGGCTTTTGCTACTATAACCTTCCCAACCACTATTTTTTTTTTTCGTTTTTTCTAAGTATAAGTATTTTAACTCTTAATAATAACTTCTATTGATACTAGGTATTCAAAAAAACATAGTAAATAAAATAGAAATAAACAAAGAAATCGTGGGTTCCATCGTTTCTATGATTACTTGTTAAACGGTGAGGTCCTCTCTATACACCGGAGCCCCTTCCTTCATTGAATCTTGATTCAATCAATGTTATTGTGAACTTGTACAGTTCACACTTCTTAGCTCTACCCATTGAATATATAGTAATAGGTCTTTCACAATAAAATCTAGCTATACAGTAACGGTATTTAAGTATGAAGATTAGCTGGGTAGTTGACCCTCTTAGTCCGTTATTGCTAAAATTAGGGCATAATTTGTCTTTATTTCAAAGAGGATTTTTCCCGCTTAATGGATCACTTTTTGTTACCAATGGGAAAAGTATATTTCATCTTAAATTCAAAATTAAGGTAATTTGGTTTGCTCCAATTGAGAAAGCATAAATTTTATACACAATAGAATTATATATATACAATTCTTATTAATTGAATATATTTTTTAATTTCAGTATATGATCTAAACGAGTCGCACATACACCTTAATACATGTTCCTCGGCGTTGAGGGCATCCCCGAAGAGCGGGAGATTTTGTTACAGTCCGGATTGGCTGTCTTGTGTTTCTAATAAGTTGGTTTATAGTTGGCATGGGGAGTCATATACATAATGAGCTGGTTTGGATCAATCCTAACCTGATAATTTTCAAATTGATAAGGACTCTATAAAATCGGGTGATTAAAAAGATAAAAGACAACATCAAATTATAATTCTGCATTTAGTCGGTACGTTAGGAAAGAAGCATCAGAAATAGTAGAAAGAAAATATTCTCATTTATTAGGATCAAAAAGGGAATAAAGATTTTATGCAAATTTTGGATTTACAAAGAATCCGCTACTGTATCAATTATTCCGTAGGCTTGGGCTTCTTCTGCTGACATAAAAAAATCCCTTTCCATGTCTTTATATATCTGCCAGGAAGGTTTGCCTGTTCTTTGGCAATAAATATTTATCATAGTTGTTTGCATTTTCATTATTTCCGTCACTTCCATCATAGATTCGCCCGTGTTTCCCTCATAAAAAGAACTAGCAGGTTGATGCAGCATTACCCTGAGAGTATACTATAATTAAGGTTTATTTCTCTTAATCTTACCGTAAAAAAAAAGAATGAAGAGATAGAAAAAAGAACTTCAATTTCTTTTTCGCCGTACAGGCAAGCCTCTTTTTTTCTTTATTTTTTATATAGCATACGGCTCTACTTTCAATTTTTCATTTTTTTGACCCTTCATTGAAAAAATACAAAAAAAAATATACCGGGTTTATCAGACCCAGATCAGTAAAGAATCTAATAACCACCCTTCTTTTTTTTTGAGAATCTTTTTTAAAGACTATGATGATTCCGTTGCTATCTTATTTCTTCTAGTTTTTGATTCAGCAATCCCAAAGTTTCTTTTTTTCAAATAAGTCCAAAAAATTGTAACACTAAAAGAGGCTCCGATAGATCAGATAAAATAGTAAATACCCCTTTTTCACACTACTCTTTCGATATATAATCTAATGGTTTTGAAAAAAAAAAAATTATTTTTGCATATCGAACTCAAAGTGCCATGCTTTTTTGACTTAATACTGGCGTAGACATAGTCTTCTTTTTTTTTTCTACAAATAAGAATCAGTGGCGCCAAGCATGAGGGAATGCTAGACGTTTGGTAATTTCTCCTCCTAACAAAATAAGAGATCCCATTGAAGCGGCTAATCCTACGCATACTGTCTGTACTTCTGCTTCTACAAATTGCATAACATCAAAAATTGCCATTCCAGATAGAATCCCTCCGCCTGGAGAATTTATAAACATATACAAATCTTTGTTCTTGTTCTCTAAACTTAGATATACCATTATACCGACGAGTTGATTTGATATTTCACTGCTAACCTCTTTACCTAAAAAAAGTAGTCTTTCGTGAAAAAGTCGATAGTATAAGTCAATCCAAGAAGCTTCATCCTCGCCGGGAACATCAAAGGCTACTTTGGGAACACCTACCGGCATAAACTGGAATGGAAATTGTCGACCGGATTTTGCTTTGGTGTGAGAACATCCGGAGACAGAATGAGTTGATTTTGTTCAAAATCATTTTTATTTCGCCAAATAACATCAAAAAAGAAGACTAAAGGAAAGTTTTGATGAATAGGTCGTTCTTGGATATGTCTCTACTGCTATTCTTGTTACGTGTTACTGGACGACTAATGAATTGAATTCTTTAAAATGAAAGAGGGGATTCTAACAAAAAGGATCTCCGACAACCAAAAAAAGTATATTTCTATATTTCCTATCGAATTGAATTCTAGAAATATTCTTCTTTGCTTCATGAATTATATTATTAGAAACCAATTAATCCTATTCACATTTTCATTGATCCTCAGTTTATAGTCCGAAGCTAATAATGAATGTAAAGAACCCTCAGCTTCTAGTTCTAGTATAAGAAAGTCTTCTATATATATAGAAAGCTCTATCTTTGTAATTAAACCAAGAAAGACCCGTAGACTTTTTTTTTGTGTCTAATACACGAACAACGAATCTTTCTTTTGACGAAAAAAGGGATTTGTTGTTCTTGTATTAGTATCCAGTGTCTGCATTCACTGATATAAACACGCATATAAAAAAAAAAAACTAAACCCCACCACCATTGCCATTGCGTATTGTTACTTATCGGATATAGAATAGATCTGCTTCTTTTTGTTCCAACGAATAGAATGTTCCTTTGTTTCTAAAAAACTAGAACAAATATAAATTATTTCATGCGATATAATTTACTAATAAGGGGAAGGGCCATAGCATAGTTTTTTACAGTGCAATAAAGTTACATAGTGTCTATTTTTTGTTGATATAAGGGGTATTTTCATGGGTTTGCCTTGGTATCGTGTTCATACCGTTGTATTAAATGATCCCGGCCGTTTACTTTCTGTCCATATAATGCATACAGCTCTGGTTGCTGGTTGGGCCGGTTCGATGGCTTTATATGAATTAGCAGTTTTTGATCCCTCTGACCCGGTTCTTGACCCAATGTGGAGACAGGGTATGTTCGTTATACCCTTCATGACTCGTTTAGGAATAACCAATTCGTGGGGTGGTTGGAATATCACAGGAGGCACTATAACGAATCCGGGTATTTGGAGTTACGAAGGTGTGGCCGCGGCACATATTGTGTTTTCGGGCTTGTGCTTTTTGGCGGCTATTTGGCATTGGGTCTATTGGGATCTAGAAATCTTTTGTGATGAACGTACTGGAAAACCTTCTTTGGATTTACCAAAAATATTTGGAATTCATTTATTTCTTGCAGGGGTGGCGTGTTTTGGTTTTGGCGCCTTTCATGTAACAGGATTATTTGGTCCTGGAATATGGATATCCGATCCTTATGGACTAACAGGAAGGGTACAATCTGTAAATCCCGCATGGGGTGTGGACGGTTTTGATCCTTTTGTTCCGGGGGGAATAGCCTCTCATCATATTGCAGCAGGGACATTGGGCATATTAGCGGGTCTTTTCCATCTTAGTGTGCGTCCACCTCAACGTTTATACAAAGGATTGCGTATGGGAAATATTGAAACCGTCCTTTCCAGTAGTATCGCTGCTGTATTTTTTGCAGCTTTTGTTGTTGCTGGAACTATGTGGTATGGTTCAGCAACTACCCCGATTGAATTATTTGGTCCTACTCGTTATCAATGGGATCAGGGATACTTCCAGCAAGAAATATATCGAAGAGTTGGTGCTGGGCTAGTCAAAAATCAAAGTTTATCAGAAGCTTGGTCTAAAATTCCTGAAAAATTAGCTTTTTATGATTACATCGGTAATAATCCGGCAAAAGGGGGTTTGTTTAGAGCGGGCTCAATGGACAATGGAGATGGAATAGCGGTTGGTTGGTTAGGGCATCCTATCTTTAGAGACAAAGAGGGGCGTGAACTTTTTGTACGTCGTATGCCTACTTTTTTTGAAACATTTCCGGTTGTTTTGGTAGACGGAGACGGAATTGTTAGAGCGGATGTTCCTTTTCGAAGGGCAGAATCAAAGTATAGTGTCGAACAAGTCGGTGTAATTGTTGAATTCTATGGTGGTGAACTCAATGGAGTCAGTTATAGTGATCCTGCTACTGTGAAAAAATATGCTCGACGTGCTCAATTGGGTGAAATTTTTGAATTAGATCGTGCTACTTTAAAATCAGATGGTGTTTTTCGTAGCAGTCCAAGGGGTTGGTTTACTTTTGGACATGCTTCGTTTGCTCTGCTCTTCTTTTTCGGGCACATTTGGCATGGTGCTAGAACCTTGTTCAGAGATGTTTTTGCTGGTATTGATCCAGATTTGGATGCGCAAGTAGAATTTGGAGCATTCCAAAAACTTGGAGATCCAACTACAAAAAAACAGGGAGTCTGATAGAAATAGGTTTGTTCCTTTTCGATTCGACTTTTTTTGTTGTTATTTGAATTTGATATAGGGAACTAGAGAAATATTGATTTCAATCATTCCATTTTGTTTTACTCTGGTTCTTTCTTTTTCTTTATCCAGGAGATAATTCCCCCAAAACAGGTATGAAAGCTATAATTGTAAACCACGATCAAATCTATGGAAGCATTGGTTTATACATTCCTCTTAGTCTCGACTTTAGGAATCATTTTTTTCGCTATTTTTTTTAGAGAACCCCCTCAAGTTCCAACTAAAAACACAAAATGATTTTTAATTATCTCAATTGAAGTAACGAGCCTCCAATATTACGATATTGGGGGCTCATTACTTCAACTAGTCCCCATGTTCTTCGAATGGATCTCTTAGTTGTTGAGAGGGTTGCCCAAAAGCAGTATATAAGGCATACCCAGTAAAACTTACAATTAAACCGGATATAGAGATGGCAATTAGGGTTGCTGTTTCCATGATTATAGAATATCAAGACTACAATGGATCTATAGGGTACGATCCTTTATCTACAGCGGAATGGTATACAAAGTCAACAGATCTCAATAAAAAAAAGATATATAGGATTTATGGCTACACAAACCGTTGAGGGTAGTTCTAGATCTGGTCCAAGACGAACTGTTGTAGGAGATTTATTGAAACCATTGAATTCAGAATATGGTAAAGTAGCTCCGGGGTGGGGAACTACCCCTTTGATGGGGATTGCAATGGCCCTATTTGCGGTATTTCTCTCTATTATTTTAGAGATTTATAATTCGTCCCTTTTACTGGACCAAATTTCTATGAATTAGAGAATTAGATTCACAAGAACCAACTAACTAGCTTTTCAATCGAAAAGTCAAGTTTAGCATTTAAATCGTTAATTTTTAGCCCATTCCATTTTGATTTGGTAGTTCGACCGCGAAACTTCTTTGTTTCTGTATTTCCGGAATATGAGTGTGTGACTTGTTATAATGGATCCTATTGATAGTACAGAACAGAAAATGGATACGTCATCTTATCTTGATAGATGGCTTTCCCCCGTCAGATATTTATTCTAGTATCTGGAGCACGGAATATAGAAAATAAATAGATTCTAAAGTGTTAGAACTATGATTCATACTTCATATTTATATTGATATTTAGACCTCGCAACCGGACGAAAAAAAATGAAAGAATTATAAGAATTCATTTAGAAAAAGAAATGGAATTTTATTCTTTAAAACTGCCACCGCTTATCATTTCTTTGTCTTTTTTTTTTTCATTCTATCTATTAATTGAATAAATGATGATCCAGCAGTTCTTACTCAGGGAATTTATGGACTTCGATTAAAGGTTTTTTGGGGAAATCATCGTGGTTCTGGTATGAATCTCAGGTTTTTAAATTGATTCTATAGGGTCTTAACAAGAAAATTCTTATTAATCATAAAAAAAAACAGCAGTAAAATCTTATTACATACACAATACAAAAAAAATGAAGTAAATAATAGAATATTCAAGAGGCCGGTAAGGATCAAGAGAAAAGACGAGTGAGCCGACTTGAAATTTTGACATTATAAACACTAAGAATAGCTTTTGGATTTCTATTTTTTTTTATCTTCAAAAAAGACTGGAATAATAGGATTAAGTGAAAAAGTTTAAGACTTTCTATTACACGTATCCGTTTTCCAAATAACCAGTATTTGAGTATTTTTGTTTGAGCCGTACGAGATGAAATTCTCATATACGGTTCTCAGGGGGGTCCCTTGGTTTACCTATCTCAATAAAGTCTATGATTGGTTCGAAGAACGTCTTGAGATTCAGGCGATTGCCGATGATATAACTAGTAAATATGTACCTCCTCATGTCAATATATTTTATTGTTTAGGAGGAATTACACTTACTTGTTTTTTAGTCCAAGTAGCGACGGGTTTCGCTATGACTTTTTATTATCGTCCAACCGTTACGGAGGCTTTTGCTTCTGTTCAATATATAATGACTGAGGCTAACTTTGGTTGGTTAATCCGATCAGTTCATCGATGGTCAGCAAGTATGATGGTCTTAATGATGATCTTGCACGTATTTCGCGTGTATCTCACTGGTGGTTTTAAAAAACCTCGCGAATTGACTTGGGTTACAGGTGTAGTTTTGGGTGTATTGACTGCATCCTTTGGTGTAACAGGTTATTCCTTACCTTGGGACCAAATCGGTTATTGGGCAGTCAAAATTGTAACGGGTGTACCCGACGCTATTCCTGTAATAGGATCCTCGGTGGTAGAGTTATTGCGCGGCAGTGCTAGTGTGGGACAATCTACCTTGACTCGTTTTTATAGTTTACATACTTTTGTATTACCTCTTCTTACTGCCGTATTCATGTTAATGCACTTTCCAATGATACGTAAGCAAGGAATTTCTGGTCCTTTATAGAGAATATGAATCATAGAGATTTGTAATCAATCATTTTGGGGAGGAGTAATAGTATTTCATTGCTACAAATATGCATTATTTTTCTTTAATAAGACATGTATTTGGATATTTCCCTTCAACTTAACAAAATAAACTGGATTCTTTATTTGACATACACAAATAGTTGAAGGGAACTCTCCGAAAAAAGAATGGATTATGGGAGTGTGTGACTTGAACTATTGATTGGGCCATGCAGATATATGACTTGATCTTATCTGCCACATTTGAATTCACAATGAAATGTGTCTTTGTTCCAACCACCGCGTCAGTCCTCTACAGAGGATAGTCCGGTTCGCTTGAAGATAATCTTTTCTATGATCAGACTCGATCATATCCTGCATGAACAGGCTCCGTAATATCCAGTAAAAAAAGGAATATGATATAATCTAGATTATGTCGTATGTATTTCATTAAACTTACATAGTATGGAAATGCATTCATTTCCTATGCATTGACTCAATTTATGATACTATCGGAGTTAAACAAGTAGATCTAAAGAAAAAGGGGGGTTGTATTCTATTAGTAACAAGTAAATCCTTTCTATGTCAAAAATTCCAAAATTCATTTTTCGAGGTATAACAGGCGAAAGGTTTGAGATCACCCAGAAAGAACTTTTGATTTTTATTTTAAAACTTACTTGGGTGAAAAGCATTTACTTAAAAATAAGAACTTAATTTTTTGCAATGGATAGTTGTAATTTCGGAAAAAAAAGAATTCAACCCGTTTTATTACATAGAATCATGATATATGAGTGACTCACATCTACAAAATTTCTATGTCTGCATTCAGTTGGTTTGATTCGTGCTCGAGCCGGATGATGAAAAATTATCATGTCCGGTTCTTTCGGAGGATGGATCTATAAGAATTCACCTATCCCAATAACAAAAAAACCTGACTTGAATGATCCTGTATTAAGAGCAAAATTGGCCAAAGGGATGGGTCATAATTATTATGGCGAACCCGCATGGCCTAATGATCTTTTATATATTTTTCCAGTAGTTATTCTGGGTACTATTGCCTGTAACGTAGGCTTAGCGGTTCTCGAACCATCAATGATTGGGGAACCCGCAGATCCGTTTGCAACTCCTTTGGAAATATTGCCCGAATGGTATTTTTTTCCCGTATTTCAAATACTTCGTACCGTACCCAATAAATTATTGGGCGTTCTTTTAATGGTTTCAGTACCGGCGGGATTATTAACAGTACCTTTTTTGGAGAATGTGAATAAGTTCCAAAACCCATTTCGGCGTCCAGTAGCAACAACCGTCTTTTTGATTGGTACTGTCGTGGCTCTTTGGTTGGGTATTGGAGCAACATTACCTATTGAAAAATCCCTAACGTTAGGTCTTTTTTAAATTGATTCTATTGTAAAATATCATGACAGGTGTATTGTGTTGTGTATCTAGGGAAAATTCACTTTGAAATGACTAATCCCTAGATACATCTATTTCATTTTAGACCTATTCTGAATATATTGATTTGTGCTAAAGATTCAAATTTCATATTTGAACCTTTCTTTTTATAAAAATGAAAGATTCAAAAAAATCCAATAGATTTTCAATTTATAAAAAATGCTTTTCGATTTGTAAAAAGTTGAATAATATATTTTGTAAATCTTCTACGCGAAAATGTTCAATTTTCAGAAGGTCTTCTTGAGTCTTATTCAAAAGTTCAAATAATGTATGTATATTGGACTTTTTAAGACAATTATAGATCCGGGGAGGCAATTCTAATTGGTCAATAAAAGTAGATTTCAATTTCATTTCTTTTTTATTTTTCCTTAGTTTATCCTTAACCAATCTATCATGAAAAGTAAAAAGGGGCAAAGTAATTTTGTGTTGATTGTTTTCAAAATTTAAGTTTTCTTCTTCTGCATGTAAAAAAGGAATAAATAAATCAATCAAATTCCGGGAGGCTTCATAAAGTGCTTCCTTAGGAGTTAAACTTCCATTTGTCCATATTTCGAGAACTAGTATCTCTTGTTTTTCATTTCCATTCACATAAGAATGAATACTATGATTTGCATTTCTAACAGGCATGAATACAGCATCTATAGTATAACTTCCATCTTGAATGTTGTTTAGTGTTTTTATACGATATCCCCGCTTTCTATCAATTTCTAATTCAATACACAAATTAATAGGTTCTGTTAGGTTAGCTATATGTTGTGTATTATCAATGACTTCCACCGAAGGTGGTAAAATGATGTCTTGAGCAGTTACATATCCAGGACCTTTGAAACAAATAGACGCGTCCCGAGTTCCATACAGATTACTTCTCAATACAACTTCTTTTAAATTCATTAAAATTTCATGTATTGATTCTTGAATACCTATTATGGTAGAATATTCATGTGGTATTTTCTCAGATTTTGCACGTGTGATACATGTTCCCTCTATTTCTCCGAGCAAAATTCTTCGCATTGCAATGCCTATTGTATCTGCTTGACCTTTCATAAGTGGAGACATAATAAAGCGTCCATAATAAAGACGCTTACTGTCTACCCTTGATTCAACACACTTCCACTGTAGTGTCTGAGTAGATACTTTTAGTTTTTCTCGAATCATAGTAATATATTTTTATGAAACTCTTGATTTAATTGTTTATTTCTCTTGAAATCTTTTTCTTTAATGTTTATTGTTAGTTTTACACACGTCTTTTTTTAGGAGCCCTACATCCATTATGTGACATAGGGGTTACATCCCGTATAACCCTTACTCGTATCCGACTTCCAGAAATAGCTCTTAATGCCGCCTCTCTTCCTAGACCGGGACCTTTTATCATGACGTCTGCTCGTTGCATGCCTTGATCGACTACTGTTTGAATAGCATTTCCCGCTGCGGTTAGAGCGGCAAATGGTGTCCCCCTTCGTGTACCCTTGAATCCACATGAACCGGCGGAGGACCAAGAAATCACCCGACCTCTTACATCTGTAACAGTCACAATGGTATTGTTGAAACTAGCTTGAATATAAATAACCCCCTTTGGTATTTTACGAGGATGCTTACGCGAACCAATACGTCCAGTTTTACGTGAACCAATTTTTGGTATAGATTTTGCCATGTTTTATTATTTAAAAAAATATAAGTCCGAAATATATGGATATATCCATTTCCTGTCAAAAAACGATTCTTGACTATTTTCTAACTAGTTATTCTATTGTATTCTATAATTCAATTAATATAGAATTCCATTTTCAAATATCAAGGAATAAGCAATTATATTTATGAGAATACTTATAACTATAGACTCTATTCGAATATAGAATCTATATTTTTAGATAGAGTATTTAATAAAATGGAATATTCATAAGATTTTTTATTTGAATTCTATTACAATTCAAATAAAAAATCTTATGAATAGAAAGACCTTTTTTCTTTTAATATTATCCTTGTCTTTGTTTATGTTTTGGATTGGAACAAATTACTATAAGTCGACCTCGCCTACGGATCAATCGACATTTTTCACAAATTTTACGAACAGAGGCCGCCACTTTCATATTTTTCACTCCTTAAATTAAATTGAATACCAATTTTATAGATTGCAAGAAAATAGGGTTTCCTTACATTTTGAACTTCAAATTGTTCCTCCTAAAAAATATGTTGAAGTTATAAAATAGTCTAATCGAATGGAGTCAGCTATACTTCCTTTTTTGGTCGTATCCAGTGGAAACATAACCTAGAATCTGATTTGAATTCTATTTCTCTAAAGCAACCTCAACCTGCAACATACCCTCAGAAGTTGTTGATTAATTTAATCTTTATTAATTTTCATTTCTATTCTAGTTAAAACCTCTTCCCATATTCACTAATGTATCATGAATAATATTAGAAATCTGTTTTTTCTCTACTCCCTCCATTCACAATACTGTTGGCTCTAAGTTTTTTTCATATAATTCAGATATCGGCAAAATTAGCATTACCATATATAACATAAAACTTCTCCCCCGATTTTTTCTAATCGAGCCTCTCGATCTGTCATTATACCCCTAGAAGTAGAAAGAATTACAATCCCCATCCCTCCTAAAACTTTCGGAATTTTTTGATACTTAGAATATATTCGTAGACAAGGTGTACTGATCCTTTTTAAATTTAAAAAAGTTTTATAGGATCCTTTCCTATTTCTTCTATACCGTAGAGTTAAAACTAAAAAGTATTTGTTGCTTTCTCGATGTTTTCTGACGTTTTCAACAAAACCCTCTCGTAAAAGAATTTTTACAATGTTTTCGGTGATATTAGTAAGTGGTATTTTAACAGTTCTTTTTCTATTCATGTCAGCATTGCGTATCAAGGTTAGTATATCAGCGATAGTATCTTTACCCACGATAGATTTTTGCTCCTTACTTTCGATATAATCAACGTGCTCCCGTTTTTTGATTTTTTATTTTTTGATTCAATCAAATCTCTCATATTGAATATGAGAATAGAATAATACTCTATATGTATAGAAAATTTGATTGTAATTAGGATAATCTAAATATCCGAATATAGAATATTCTAAAACTAAAAAAAGATAGAAATAAAATGAACGAATGACCTATTCGAAACTATATAAATAATCTTATATTGAATTCGAATTCTATTTTTTTATACAAATAGAATTCGAATTTTTATTTTGAATATATTGACTTGAATATAGAATATATATTTCATTCGTATTCTAATCTATTTCCTATTCATTCAAGTCATAAATAATATATCTATATCATGATCTCTTATTATAATACCTCAGGTGCTAATGAAACTATTTTAGTGAAATTTAACTGTCTCAATTCTCGGGCTATTGCGGAAAAAATTCGAGTTCCTTTTGGATTTCCTTCTTTATCAATGAGAACCGCCGCATTATCATCATACTTTATTATTATACCATTACGACGTTTTAGTTCTTTACAAGTACGTACAATTACAGCTCTGATGACTTGAGATCTTTTTAAAGATGAATTTGGCACTGCTTTTTTGATTACAGCAACAACAATGTCACCAATATAAGCATACCTTCGATTACTAGCTCCTATGATTCGAATACACATCAATTCGCGCGCTCCACTATTATCGGCTACATTTAAATAGGTTTGAGGTTGAATCATATCCTTTTTTCTTATCTTTCAGTTTCAGTCAAAAAGTTGAAGTAAAAAAAATATTTTGTGTTCAAAAAAAAAACGGAGAATTGCCTTTTTTCATACTAAAGATCTCTTTCGTTCTAATGATTATTCGGAAAGAATAAATTGAGTTCGTATAGGCATTTTGGATGCCGCTATTGAAATCGCCTTTCTAGCGATATTTTCTGGAACACCTCCCATTTCATAAAGTATTTTGCCGGGTTTAACAACAGCTACCCAATATTCGGGCGATCCTTTTCCCGAACCCATACGCGTTTCGGTAGGTCTTACTGTAACAGGTTTGTCTGGAAATATGCGTACCCATATTTGTCCACCCCGGCGAACATTTCGTGACATTGCCCGTCGACCCGCTTCTAGTTGTCTAGATGTGATCCAAGCGGGCTCAAGTGCCTGAAGAGCATATTTTCCGAAGCAAATTTGACTACCACGAGAGGCTTTTCCTTTCATTCTTCCTCTATGATGTTTGCGGAATCTCGTTCTTTTTGGGTTATAGTTGATGGTTATTTCTCAATTCCATCTCTATTACAGAACCGTACATGAAATTTTCACCTCATACGGCTCCTCGCGAATAAATCGATTGAAAAATATTGAATCGAGAAAATAATAATAATTACTACAATAAGATACAACAGAATATAATCGCGGGATTTTTTTACATTTAATAGAATCTATTGATCTATTAGAAATTTTTTAATCTTGCTTTGATATATAACGAAATATGTATTCTTATAGACCATTTTTGCTATCCGTATCTAACTAGCTAATATTTTTGGATATAAGGTTCTAACGAATCAGTATTTTTCTTTTTTTATTATTATCATATTGGATTGGCAAAAATTTATCAATTCCAAAAAAATCCACATTTTCGCGGGCGAATATTTACTCTCTCATTATAAATTGATTAAATTGAAGATGTAATGTAGGGTTAGTCCACAACTCCTCAAAAAAGAATGAATTCTTAGTTCCTTCCGCCATCCCATCTAATGAATCAGTAAGATTTCAAATTTTAATATAATCTTTTGTATTCACAGGTTCCGTCGTTCCCATCGCTTTTCAATTTATGGTTAGGTCTAAATTCTACAATGGAGCCTCTTTAATTAAGAAGATTCCATTTTTTTTATTTTCTTATTTTCTTCTTTTTTGTTGAATCAACCTTCTCAGTTTTCTTGATTCGTGGCTCTTGATTCGTTTATTCTAGGAATATATTCATCCATATATGGATGAATTTTGAAGATTGATGCTTTATTACACTACTTTTTATGAGATGACCCATAGACCTTTACATAGGAGAATTCTATATCATTGATATCCTTTTTCTATCTTTCTTTCACCCCTTCATTTATCTGTATATTCTTATTGCTTTACAACTAATAATCTTATTTTTTTTTTTTTATTTCAGTTGCTATAATTATATCATCACATAGATCCTTATTTTGATTTTAGATTTTCGGCGGTTCTTTATATCCAGATAATGGGAAGCGATGAGTAGGTTATTTATTCTTTAGTAATTAATTCGACGAATTTTTGTAGAAAATTAACCACTCTAAAAAAAAACCAACGAGTCACACACTAAGCATAGCAACTCCTTCATTATAAAATGATTAATTAATTTTTTTTTATTTAATCTTTTAAAATTTTTCATTTCTTCTTTGAGAATAAGAACGTAGTAAGAATTCGTCATTTTTTGTTTTCTCAAAAGATGGAACGTTATAAGGAAAAGGTTATTAGTCGTTGTTTATAAATATCCAAACTTTGATTCCTAAGACCCCATAAATAGTTCGAACTGGATAGGAACAATAATCAATTTTAGCTCGAATGGTTTGTAGAGGAATCCTACCTTCTCTGATCCATTCGACACGTGCAATTTCGTTTCCGTCGATGCGTCCCGCAATTTGTATTTGAACTCCTTTTGTACCTGCACCTGCCTCTTCAGCGAATTTTTTTATAGTTTTTTGCATTGCTTTACGAAACGGAATTCTATTCTTTAATTGTCTGGCTAGAAATTCTGCAAGAATATTCGGGTCTCTATAAACATTTGGAATTCTTGTAATTTCAATGTTGATTTGTCGGTTCACACAATTTATTTTTTTTTGCACATTAGTATGTAATTCTTCCATTCTTTCAGGGTTATCCTCTATTACTAAGTTTGGGTTTGGAAGTCCCATATTGATTATCACGTGAATCAGATCGCGTGTTTTTTTAATCTTTATTCGTCCAATTCCCTCGCCATCGACAGCGGTTGTTGTTTTTTGTATTTTTTGTATATAATTCTTGATACAATCTCGTATTATTTTATCTTCTTTTACATTCTCGGAATAAATTCTTGGTTGTGCAAACCAAATAGAATCATGACTTTGAGTTGTACCAAGTCTGAAACCAAGCGGATGTATTTTTTGTCCCATAATCCCTCACTACTCTATATAAAATAATACGTCTGATTTGTCTACTTTTTTATCTATATATATATATTTTTTTTAATATCTTGATATATCTTTTTTTTTCTGCAAAGCATTAGTTCTATTATAATAACCCTTTCAATTTTTGAATATTATTAATTACCATTCACGCTTTGTGTTGTGAATAGACAAAAATATTTTTTGAACAAAGGGTTATATTTCTCTGTATTGGTTCTATTTTCACGAAAAAATAAAATCTGTTTTTTTGATTGCAGAATAATACAATTCTTTTTGAGTAATTTATTAATTAATATTTATTAATGACTATTACTAAATTTATGTTAAAATGAATGTTAACGACGAGATCTATTATCATTTTTCGCAAAGCCTCGGAAGTTTCGAGTAGGTGAAAATTCTCCCAATTTATGGCCTACCATACGATCTGTTATATAAATAGGTAAATGCTCTTTTCCATTATGGATAGCAATGGTATGCCCAATCATTGTAGGTAGAATGGTAGATCTTCTGGACCAAGTTATTATTATTTCTTTTTCTCCTTTTGTGTTAAGCTTATTTATTTTTCTTAATAAATGATTCGCTACAAAAGGATTTTTTTTTAGTGAACGTGTCATAGTTAATTATTCCTCTTAAAATTTCTAAAAAAATGAATTTTTTCTCTTATATTTTTTATTTTATTTCCAATTTTAAAATATAGAATCTCTTTTTAAAATATAGAATCTCTCAAAAAAGAAAATCATAGAATGTCATAGTCAATCGCTCTTTTCTTTTGTAAAGACGAAGAAACAAATTCTATTTTCTCTACTATCCACTATTGACTACGGCGACGAAGAATCAAATTATCACTATATTTCTTCCTTTTTCTAGTTCTTCTTCCAAGTGCAGGATACCCCCAAGGAGTTGAGGGTTTTTTTCTACCAATTGGGGCCCTCCCTTCACCACCCCCATGTGGATGGTCTACAGGGTTCATAACTACCCCTCTTACTACAGGACGCTTGCCTCGCCAACGTTTAGCTCCGGCTCTGCCCAAACTTTTCTGGTTTACCCCAACATTCCCCACTTGTCCGACTGTTGCTGAGCAGTTTTTTGATATCAAACGGACCTCTCCAGAAGGTAATTTTAATGTTGCTGATTTACCCTCTTTTGCAATCAGTTTCGCTACAGCACCCGCTGCTCTAGCTAATTGTCCACCCTTTCCAAGTGTTATTTCTATGTTATGTATGGCCGTGCCTAAGGGCATATCGGTTGAAGTAGATTCGTCTTTTTGATCAATCAAAACCCCTTCCCAAACTGTACAAGCTTCTTCCAAAGCATACGGCTTTCTGGATGTAGATTAGAATATCTATACAGATACATCTTATATATCGTTTATTTCGTATATTATATATGACATAACGAAGTACCATACCACATGAGTGGATATATAATATACGAATCCAAATATTCTGAATGACTCATGTTATGATCTTCTACATCCTAGGTCTTTCTGTTCCTTCATCTGGCTTATGTTCTTCATGTAGCATTCAGACCGAATGACTCTATGAAATTACGTTGCTACTTAGACATAGTACGGGTAACGTAGGAGACATTTCTATTTTTTCCCGGGGGAATCCTTAGAATTACCACTGCTTAGCTTTCAATTTGCCTTTGACCATCAAATGAAATGTGAATAATCTGTGTCTTCCCCCCTTTGTTTTTTGAAACGAGGAGCACTTCGTGTTCTGTCGGTGCTTGAAACAATTTTGTCTTCTCCATATTACTATATCTCTAGGGTCAATAATTTTATATTAGGAACTACTGAACTCAATCACTTGCTGCTGTTACTCTTCAGTTTTCTGTTGAAGTCTATCCTGTAGAGGTACTCAAATAGGATCAGTGATCGATTTCTAGGTTTCGCCTTAAACCTAATTGGTTACTTCCAATTACGTAAATCTATAGTTCAAACCGCACTCAAAGGTAGGGCATTTCCCATTTTTATAGGAACTTTTGTACCATAAATAATGGTATCTCCAATTATAGCCCCTCTGGGGTGTAAAATATATCTTTTCTCACCATCCCCATAGTGTATGAGACAAATGTGTGCATTTCGATTAGGGTCGTATTCGATAGTTACAATTCTACCATATATGTCTTTTTCATTGCGTCGAAAATCAATTTTACGGTATAGACGCTTATGACCTCCCCCTCTATGCCCTGCGGTAATGATTCCTCTGGCATTACGCCCTTTACCACAATGATGCTGTCCAGAAATCAAACGATTTCGTGAATTGGATTTCACTTGACTGTTTACGGCTCCATTGCGTGTGTTCGGGCTAGAAGTTTTGGATAAATGTATCGCCATGTTATGAAGTGTATTTTTATTTAAGTTATTTTCTTTCTAAGAGGTGGAATAGAATAACCCGGTTGAAGCGTAATGATCATACGTTTGTAATGCCTTGTATGTCCCATAATAGGTCGTATTCTTCTACCCTTTATTGGGATTGCGAGTTGATTCATAGTTCTTACCTTGACACCAAAGAAGAGTTCGACCCAATGTTTTCTTTCTGTCCTAGTTAATCCTGATTTGACATGAAAAGTATATTGATTTTTTCGAAATAACGAAAATTTAGTGTCTGTAAATACTGCAGATTTTATTCCATTCATAAATCTATTTTATTCTTTCTTCCCGATGAGTTCTAGTCTCACTAAAAATACTAGTTTTTTTACTGTTCATTTATTAAAATTTGAATATACCACACCAATTTGTTATGTATGGATGATGAGATTCCATTGATACAGATCCAAGTCTCGATTCAAATACTACTAAGCTAAGAGGTCTACTACAGATCAGAAATTATTTAAATAGAATAAATAAAGAAATTCTTTCTTTATTTAGAAATGATCAATTCTTGAAGTTTCTATTATTTTCAAATTCAATTATTAAAGAAAGAAGAAGATGTTTCTTTTTTTCTTTGGAGGAAATTGGAAAAGAAAGAAATAGCCAATATAGTCAAGATAATCATGTATTTACAAAATAATGTCTCAATTCATCCTATATTCATCCGATGGAGGATGTGATAGGATTGCAAAGGAGAAACTTTTGACAGTTCAAAATAATAATTCATGATTAAAAATATAGTTTTTAGGGGAGATATTTCTATTGGCATGCATCCAGTAGGAATTGAACCTACGACTTCGCCAATTATGAGTTGGGCGCTTTAACCATTCAGCCATGGATGCTTCGAGGGAACAACCCTCCGACTTGATGAATAACCAAATTTCAATTGAAGTGAAATCTTTTGGATAAATCAATAGAAATACATACATAAAGAAATAACTTAATAGAAATACATACATAAAGAAATAACTTAATAGAAATACATACATAAAGAAATAACTTAATAGAAATACATACATAAATAAATAACTTAATAGAAATACATACATAAAGAAATAACTTAATAGAAATACATACATAAATAAATAACTTAATAGAAATACATACATAAAGAGATAAATTATTTTTAATTTTTTAAGGAGGATCCTATGAAGAACAATCAATTCCACTTTTGGATTTTCGAATTGCGAGAAATTTTTAGAGAGAGCAAGAATTGTGCCTATTTCTTAGATTCCTGGACGCAATTCAATTCAGCGATATCTGTCATTCACATTTTTTTGCATCAAGAGAGTTTGATAAAAGTCTTAGACTCCAGAATTTGGAGTATCCTAGTTTCACGTCAGTCACAGGGTTTAACAAGAAATCGATATTTCACGATCAAGAATGTAGTACTTTTTGTAGTAGCGATCCTTCTATATCGTATTAACAATCGAAGGATGATCGAAAAAAAAAATATTTATTTGACAGGGCTTCTTCCTATACAAATAAATTCCATTGGATCCGGCAATGATAGATTGGAAGACTCAAAAGATTCGTTCAATATCAATAGGTTGATTGTTCCGCTCCTGTCTGGTCCAAAAGAAAAAAAGATCTCTGATCGCTCTTTTTTCTCGGACAGATGGTCCCAACTTCATCTGGATTTGAATCCTACTGAGAAGTCCGCTCAAGATCTTCAATTATTAAAGAAAGAAGAAGATGTTTCTTTTGTTCTTTGGAGGAAATTGGAAAAGAAAGAACTAGCCAATATAGTCAAGATAATCATGTATTTACAAAATAATGTCTCAATTCATCCTATTTCATCCGATGGAGGATGTGATAGGATTGCAAAGGAGAAACTTTTGACAGTTCAAAATAATAATTCATTCTTGACCAAAAATCTAGTTTTTGGTTTATTTCATCTATTCCATGACCAGAATAGGGGGGGGTACTTGTTACATCGCAATTTTCAATCAGAAGAGAGATTTCAAGAAATGGCAAATCTATTTAATCTATCACTAACTAAGCCGGATCTGGTCTATCGTAATGGATTCTCTTTTTCTATTGGGTTTTCTGAACCGGAATCAAAAAAAAAATCTTTATTGGTTCTGCCGCGGCTTTTTGACGAAGCGAATGAATCTTTTTATCCAAAGATCATAAAAAAATGGGTCCAGACCTCTTGTGGGAATTATTTTCAAGGTAATCGATTCAATCGCAACTTCGAATATGTACTTCAAAGGTATCAAAATGATATTCTGAATCATAGACCTATAAGGAAACACACGATCAATCAACGTTTCTCAAATTTGAAAAAGAGTCAGAAGAAATGCTTTGATCGTCTTATTTTTATTTATCGAACCGAGAGATCCGTGAATAAGGATCCAAATGCATATAAATACAAATGGTCCAAGGGGAGCACAAATTTCCAGGAACATTTGGACCATTTCATTTCTGAGCAGAATAGTCGTTTTAAAGTAGTGTTCGATCGATTACATATGAATGCATATTCGATTGATTGGGCTGAGGTTATCGACAAAAAAGATTTTTCTAAGTCACTTTGTTTCTTTTTGTCCAAGCTTCTTCCCTTTTTGTCTAACTCACTTCCTTTTTTCTTTGTGAGTTTCGGGAGTATGCCCGTTCATAGGTCCCAGAGCCATATGTATGAATTGAAACGTATGAATGATGCACTCGAGAATCAGTTGTTAGAATCAATAGGTCTGCAAACGGTTCATTTGAAAAAAAGGAAATCCCCATTATTGGATGACTATTATACTTCTCAAAAATCAAAATTCTTGATCAATGAAGGAACAATATTACCATTTTTGTTCAATAAGATACCAAACCAAGACAATTGGCTGAATCCTGTGAAATGTTTTCATAGAAGTTCATTGATTTCCTCTTTTTATAAAGTAAATCGACTTCGATTCTTGAATAATCAATATAACTTCTCTTTCGATTGTAACAAAAGATTCTCTTTTTATGGGGAAAGGTCCTATAATTATGATTTTATGTATGAACAATTCCTCAATGTCTTGTTCATTCGAAAGAAAAGATTTTCTTTGTGCGGCGGTAAAAAAACACATGCTTTTTTGGACAGAGATACTATTTCACCAAGCGAGTTAGAGGTCTCTAAGATATTGAGACCGAAGAATTTTCCGCAAAGTGGTGATGACGGATATGACTTGTACAAATCTTTCCATTTTTCAACTCGTGTTCCTAGATCTATTTACTCGATCGCGGACATTTCTGGAACACCTCTAACAGAGGAAGAAATAGTGAATTTGGAAAGAACTTCTTGTCAACCTCTTTCCCCTATTAATTTATCTGATTCAAAAAGGAAGAACTTGCATCAGTATCTTGATTTCGATTCAAACATGGGTTTGGGTTTGCTTGACACTCTATATTCTGAAAAATTTATACCATCCGCAAAGAGGAAAAAACCTCTAAAAAAATTCCTTGGAAAAGGGCAGATGTATAGAAACTTTCAAAGAAAAAGAAAAAGAAAGAGTATTTCTTCAATTCTCTCCAAATTGAAGCGATTACGCCCGTATATAATACCGTTGTTCCTTACCTGGACAGGGCACAAATATATCAATTTCATATTTTTAGATACTCTTTCAGACCTATTTGCGATACTAAGGAGGAGTCCTCAATTTAAAAAATTTGTATCTATTTGGCAGAATATTATGCATGGATCCAAGGGAAGTCTTCGGAAAAAACTGTGGGGAATTCTTCGGAAAAAACTGTGTCTTTCACAACGGAATCGTATAAGTGAGATTTCGAGTAAGTCTTTCCATAATTTTCTTGTAGACATGTACAAAGATCTTTTTCACACAAATAATGAGTCACCATTCATATCGACACATCTGAGATCACGAAATATTGAGGAGTTCCTGGTTTCAATCCTTTTACTTCTTCTTGTTACTGGATATCTTGTTTATACACATCTTTTCTTTGTTTCTCGCTTCTCTAATGAGTTACAGACAGAGTTCGAACAGGTCAAATCTTTGATGATTCCATCCTACATCATTGAATTGCGAAAACTTCTGGATAGGTATCCTCTATCAGAACAAAATTCTTTCTGGTTAAAGGATATCTTTGGAGTTGCTCGAGAACAATTAGGAAATTTTTTAGAAGAAAGGCGAGGTTGGCCTTCTGGCGGGGACATCCCAAGGGGTGGTGGTTTCGCTGATGGGGTCAAATCCATACGTTCGAAGAAGAACGGTTTTAATCTCATGGATCTCATAAGTATTATACCAAATCCCATCAATCGAATCGCGTTTTTGAGAAATACGAGACATTTAAGTCATACAAGTAAAGCAATCTATTCATTGATAAGGAAAAGAAAAAACATGAATAGTAATTGGATTGATGATAAAATAGAATCCTGGATCTCGACTAGTGATTTCATTGCTGATAAAGAAAGAGAATTCTTGGTTCAGTTCTCTACCTTAACGACAGAAAAAAGGCTGGATCAAATTTTATTGAGTCTGACTAATAGTGATCAGTTATCAAAGAATAACTCTGGTTATCAAATGATTGAGCAACCAGGAACAATTTACTTACGATATTTAATTGACATTCATAAAAAGGATCTGATGAATTATGAGTTCAATACATCCTGCTTAGCAGAAAGACGGGTATTCCTCGCTCATTATCAGACAATCACTTATTCAGAAATCCCGTGTGGGGCTAGTTGTTTGGATTTATCATCTCATGGGAAACCCTTTTCGCTACGCTTAGCCCTATCCCCTGCTAGGGGTATTTTAGTGATAGGTTCGATAGGAACTGGACGATCCTATTTGCTCAAATATCTAGCGACAACCACCTATGTTCCTTTCATTACAGTATTTGTAAACAAGTTCCTGGAGAACTTTCCTAAGGGTTTTGATAGTGATGATAGTGAGGACGACATGTTTGATGAAAGAGAGGGTACCATTTACAGTCTTTTACCTAATAACGAGGGTAGTTGCTATAATTCCGAGAAT